CAAAAGCCGACGAATTTAACTTTTTTGAGAAAAGCGAACATTTTTCAAAAGATAATAATTTTAAAACACGCCCAATTGTTGCTTGAAATCGTTAAAAAAACATTTCGTTTTGGAATATCATAAAACACAAAGAAAAAAATTCTATTTAGCCATCTATCCTTCTAACTATTCTCTCATCTGTCTATACATCCATCTATCTATCCATCTATCCATCTATCTATCTATCTATCTATCTATCTATCTATCTATCTATCTATCTATCTATCTATCTATCTATCTATCTATCTATCTATCTATCTATCTATCTATCTATCTATCTATCTATCTATCTATCTATCTATCTATCTATCTATCTATCTATCTATCTATCTATCTATCTATCTATCTATCTATCTATCTATCTATCTATCTATCTATCTATCTATCTATCTATCTATCTATCTATCTATCTATCTATCTATCTATCTATCTACCTATCTATATATCCAACAATCAAACTACGTATCTATCAATCAATCTCTATTCGTTGGTCCACAAATCATCATTGAATGAATTACTAATAAGAATTAATTCATTCATTAATTCTGATAAAGGAAATGATAAAGGCAGGCAGAAGTAGAAACAACGTGACGGACATCAGACGAAAAGTCCTCAAAGATCAAAAGACTAATTGTAATAATAAATTTGAATATTATAAATAATAATATGAATATTATGAATAATAATATGAATATTATGAATGATAAATTTGAATATTATGAATAATAATATGAATATTATGAATAATAATATATTATAAATAATAATATGAATAATAATAATAAGATGCTGTCTTACTTGTTAAGAATAAAAAGTTATTATTATTATCTGTCAGTCATTTGATAATTTTTAATTTCTGAATTATGACGGAAACCTCAATAATTAATTAATTAATTAATTCAATACATAATTAGATAAACAAATATTAATCAAGACTAATATAAAGCTAGCATAATTATTCCATTATTGCTGTCTGCCATCGTATAAACATGATCAATTCATTTCATAATTCACTGATAATGCATTCCACAACCCACTTCATAATTCACCCATTTCATAATTCATCCGTCACATAATTCACCCAACCACAGATAAAAAAAACCAGCCATCGACCTCAAACCAGTAAAGGCAGATTTGGATTCAGCTCAAAATAGTACAAAAACGCCACCACAAATGCGATGATTCCAATGAAAAGCAGTCCGACCAATAGGATCATAGCACCGGACCAGCCCCTTCTTCCCGATTGGATGACCTTCTTTCTTCTCGACGAATCACGATCGACTCTGTATTTATACCTCTCGGCATCAAAGGTAGACTCTCTCTTTCTAAGCCCATCAAAGGCAGATGACATGGTGGGTGATGAGTACGGGGGTAGTGGGGTGGATTCATAGGTGAGGGGCTTCGGGATGTAGTGGTGGGAGAATGACGTGGGGTAGGTGGACACTAGGGAGGGCCTCGGAGAGAGGGCGGACCGGATGTAGTCGTAGTCGAGCCGGCTGCCGCTACTGTTAGCCGCACCGCTGTTCCTGGTGTAAATGACGTCATCGTCGTTGTCGCCATCGTAACTGCTGGTGTTGTTGGTGGTGCCGTATTTGGTTGTCGTGATTGTCGTCGTTGTGGTGGTTCTTCTGCTGCTGTGCTTATCCTGGAGTTCTTTCCAGGTTGGAAACCTGCAGGTATGCATCACCAATCAATCAATCGATCCATCAATCAATCAATCAATCTATCAATCACTCAATCAATCAGTCAATCAATCACTCAATCAATCTATCAAGCTATCAATCAATCGGTCAATCATTCAATCAAGCTATCAATCAATCAATTATTCATTCATTTATTCATTAATTCATAATAAAATAATTTATTCATTCATAATAATAAAAATAATAACAAATAATAATAATAATAACAATAATAACAATAACAAATAATAACTTTTCTTCTTTTGACCAATTGGTGAAGACATTTCTTTGTGTTACTTCAAAAAAAAATACAAAATGTTAATAGGTTAGACCAACTCTTTTATAATTCATTCACTTGTTTGTTCCCTCATTCATTCATTCACATGCTCATTCATCCATTCATTCATTTACATGCTCATTCATCCATTCATTCATTCATACATGCTCAATCATTCATTTACCCACATATATCTTAATTTTTTCATCCTCTCAGTAAGTCATTCATTCGTTCATTCATTCATTCATTCACTAGAGTCTACACACTTGTTCATTCATTTATTCCTTCATTCATTCATTTATTCGAACATTCAGGGCTTATAATACTTATAATACTTACACACACACACACATATATATATAATTTAGAAAATTTAAAAATTCAACAAAATTCGCTAACTCAATGGCTCGTTAACCGGACGAATTTCTCCTTCACCTTCCCCTCCATCATCATCATCATCATCACCTTCCACAACACCACCATCGTCGTTGTCGTCATCTCCAGCATCATTATCATCAACTTCCATCTCAATATCATCATCGTCGTCGTCATCGCTGTAGGCCGCCCTGTTCAGGTACCTCTGCAGCTTCTTCTGGTAGACTATCCTCGTTGTATCTGGGTTGTTTTTATTTATTTAGTATCTTTTTGTTTATACCTTTTTGATCTTTTTTATTTATTTAGCATCTTTTTGATCTTTTTATTTAGTATCTTTTTATTTATCAGAAAGATATAGAATAGGATAGGAAAAGGAACAATAACAAAGTAGTCAATGACGGACTATGTAACAAAGTGAATAACAGATGAGTAGAGTGACGTAAAGTAGCACGAACAATAACAATGTAGTCAATGATGATTACTGACTGGTAACAGGACCAATGTGACTGTTGAACTGTTTCAACTTTGCGTAGAGCTCCGAGTCCGAGAGGTTTGAGACGTCACGGTGGTCGTCCAAACTCGTCTGCAACTAAATTTTTGTTATTTTTAAATAGTTTCAAAATAATATAAACTATTTTAATGTCTTAGCGGTGGGGAATGGTGAGATTATACATGATCAGTTAGTTGAAGGTCAATGAGATAGCTATTTATTTACACCTGATCATTAATTAAATAATTAATAATTTAAAAAAAAATTGAATTTTTTTAAATTTAAATTATATTTATATTATAATATAAATAAACCATAAATAAATTAATAAATGATTTAAATTAAATAAAAAAATAATTAAAAACTCCATTGAAGTTCGAAATTAATTAAAATAAACATGGCAAAAAAATTAACTTTAGAATATAAATTGTAACCAACATTTTTGGAGATCAGCTTCTTCTTGGATATCCTGGAAGAAAGTGATGACCCGGCAAGTTCGTCATCATTATCATCACCAGAATCGTTTTGTCGGTTTTCTCTAGAGAGGACGTGCTCCCTGTACAAATTGATTAGGACATCTTTTTTCGAGGTTGATGTCAGCGGGATGACCACATCCCTGGACCGCAGTTCCTTCACTAATTGCTCGCTGGTTAGGTTGTTGAGGTTCTTTACGACAGGCATTATTGGGAAATATTTCGATGAAAAATAGAAATTCGATTGATTATAAATCGATGATCTGTTAAATATGATGAGGAAAAATTTCAAACTTAATCCGAAAAAGACGAGAAAGTCGATTCAAAATTCAAAAAAATGGTTCGGCGTCCCGATCCTTTTTTAGTTTGAAGTGGGCGCGTTCTGTTTTTTTAAACTTGAAAACTTCCCATTTAACTATTTAACCCTAAATAAATAATATAAACAAACGTCTTTAATAATAAAAAAACTAATTTAACACTCCAAAAAGTAGAGGCTTGGTTTAATCAATAAAATAAACAACAAATAATTTCTCACGTGTTAGAAATATAGCAAATGCCATTCACTAACAAATGGCTCTAAATTCCTTTCAGACCTTTTCAATTGTCTTCTATTGTCATGCTGGACCCAGCTTTCCCCATCAAATCCCTACTTATATATACATACAAAAATAAATACATACATATATATATATATATATATATATATATATATATATATATATATATATATATATGTATATATATATAATGATTAATTATGTTGAAATCTTCACTCTTGTGATGTTTTACTATATCTGGCAAACCTATGGTCAATAGGTAATGATTTAAGAAACGATTTAAAAATAGAAACAAATACTTAATTGGTTAATATTTAATACAAGTGAATACTGGTTATATGAACATTATGAATAGTCGTTTAGCACTTGTAATTACATAGTGAATACCTTTTATTTCGTAATTTTCCAGGTGATAATTAAGTAAGATTGAAAGCAGGTCTGTATTGGCATTAAACTTGTGCTGATGTGATCGCAACATTTAACTTTTTATTAAAATTGAATTATTCTCTCATAAAAATATTTTAATTTTAATCTTGTTGGCGAAAAACTATTCTTAATTAAACAATTATTCGTTGTCTCGATTGAATAGTTTATCAGAATCCAATCGAATACCGATATAATGTCGGAAATATCGAAAAACTTCAAGTACTTGTCTTACGGACCGAAACACATCCCTGGAGAGAACCTTCAGATGAGGACCGATATGAAATCGTTTACGGGCCAAAATAGTACATCTCAATATTCAGCTAAAGAATCGGGTTTAAACAGATTCACTGAAAATAAATTACCGAAACTAAAAATCGATAAAAATACCGAACTCGAGTTACAAGTCATCCCGTCTCCTAGAGCGTCAGCTAATACTAGACTGAAATGGTATAAGAATCGGTTATTTACGGTTTCGGATATTTACGATATTTTGCAATTCGGTAAGCCGGTTATTTTGAGGAGTGTTTGCAAGCGTTGCCTTCAGTCGTCTGATAAATTTCAGGCCAATGATGTGAGTTATTAATATTAATATTAATTATTAATATTCATTACTACTAATTATTAATATTCATTACTACTAATTATTAATATTCATTACTACTAATTATTAATATTCATTACTACTAATTATTAATATTCATTACTACTAATTATTAATATTCATTACTACTAATTATTAATATTCATTACTACTAATTATTAATATTCATTACTACTAATTATTAATATTCATTACTACTAATTATGATTAGTATTAATTATAATTAATATCATTGACAAATAGCACAAATTGTGCATATAACTATCAACCATACACTTGTAATATATTATGGAAAGGATTATATAATCGTTATCAACATCATCGTATTTATGATCGCCTTTGTCGAGCTGTCTTTCTCTCTCTCTCTCTCTCTCTCTCTCTCTCTCTCTCTCTCTCTCTCTTTCTCTCTCATTTTCTTTTAGTTTTCTTCTCAACCACACACAACAGACAAACATATTTGTGAGCATGAAAGGCAGCGAAACTCGAATACTCAGCGAGGATCCCTGGACGAATATTCGTTACACCGTTCCATACGGTTCGAAAAAACTCGAGTCGGTAACCATGGACAGCCCGCCCCCGAATCTGGGTTATGATAGTAGTCGCCAGGAATATGGCAGTCATGATGATGATGATCTTTGGAGTGATGATGATGATTATGATCATCATCATCATCTGTTGCCATGGAGACAGCGGCCCAAAATGAAGAAAGGATTTCTGATGTATGGAAAGATGTATAGGTTTAGGAAAGCAGACACTATCAACAACAACAACAACAACAACAACAACAACAACAACAACAACAACAACAACAATAATAATAATAATAATAAATATAGCATCAATTACAACAACAACAACATCAACAACAACAACAACAGTAGCACTTCAACAAGTCATTACATCAAAAGAAGATCATCATCGAATGCAGTCTACGAAAATATCAACCACGTGATCAAAAACGTCATCATCAACAACAACAACAACAACAGTAACAACAACAACCAACAACAACAGCAAAAACAAATCGAGAAGGCGTTCAACAAATTTTGGGCCGAAAAAGCGAACGGTGAAGTGGTCAACAGCAAATTTCTTATCGGCTTTCCCATCATTAACGGTCAGCCTGCGAATTATCATATTATAATTATTATAAATTTGCATAAATTAACATAAATGAACATGGTTATTAGCAAATTTACTTGAAATAACTCAGCGGTATTTTTACGAATATTTGCGTACGGGAGAGAGAGAAAGAGAGAGAAAGAGAGAAAGAAAAAGAGAGAGAGAGAGAAAGAGAGAGAGAGAGAGAGAGAGAGAGAGAAAGAAAGAAAGAGACCCTATTAAACTATACAGCTTGTCTTACATTTAAATAAACTAACAAAAAATCAATAAATAGTAATCATTACATCAGCAAGGAGAAAATGAGAGAGAGAAAGAGAGGGAGAGAAAGAGAGAAAGAAAGAAAAAGAAAAAGAGAGAGAGAGAGAGAAAGAGAAGGAGGGATGTCTTCTTTTCGCAAAATAATACATAGGTGCAACTCACACACGCAGTTTAAATTTATTTACTCATTCATTTATTAAGACGTTCGGAATTTAAGATATGCTTATCTCATCAGCATTTTTGCAGTTGAATGAATGAATGAATGAATGAATGGATGAATGGATGAATGAATGAATGATGAATGAATGAATGAATGAATGAATGAATGAATGAACGAACGAATGAATGAACGAATGAACGAATGAATGAATAATCATCACGTGACACTCTTGGTGACTTTGTGATTAATAAAATCAAAAACTAGAATACAAACAATGAAAACAACAACAACAATAATATAACAACAACAACAACCACAATAATAATAATAATAATAATAATAATAATAATAATAATAATAACAACAAATTCCTCAAATGTCATCAAAATTAGTGGTATCTTGCTAGATGATGACGCGCGCAAGTTATGAATAATAGTAATAATAATAATAATAATAATAATAATAATAATAATTACCGCAGATCTTTTGACGTACAGCCCTGTGTTGATCAGTGAAGACAGCCAGAAGTTATTTTACATGGCCCGCTCCATCGACAACAACAACAACAACAACAACAACAGCAACAATAACAACAACAACAACAATAATAATAATTATAATAATTATAGTCATAATAATAATAGTAACTTAAATAATTACGATAGCAAGGAATTTTGTATTTGCAATATCAGCCGTAAAGACGACAACAACATTAACAACTATAACAACAACAACAACAACAACAACAACAACAATAATAATAATAATAATAATTTATTCGCTGAGACCAGTATTAGAGGTAATACCATTATTATTACTCCAAATTTCTTGTTATTAAATTAGATTTATCGTCAACATAATTATTATTAAATTAAAGTAGTAGTATTAATATTTTAGTTTAAGTCGCAACAATACACAGCACATACATTTTCTAATACAAAAGCGTACAGAGCCAGGGATGGCCATTCTAACAATAGCTTAACGTTTGTCGCTGTATATATTGATATCGGCTATTTTTTAAATAATTTGAAATTAAATGTTAAAATTAAATTAAAATATCTTATATATAATAATAATAATAATAATATAATAATAATAATAATAATAATATTATTATTATTATTATATTAATAATAATAATAATAATAATGACGATATAAAATCAGTATCAATTAATCGACTAAGCAATCAATCATTCAATCATTCGTTCCTTAATTAATTAACTAATTAATTAATTAATTAATTAATCCAGGTAACGATAGCAATGATGGTGGTGACGACGATGATGATGATAATGATGACGGTGGATTGTGGTCGGAATATTTGGAGACATTCAGACGAACACAAAGATCGTA